TGGGATTGAGTGACTTGTTTTGTGATGATTTGTAGGTGAACTGGAAGTTTCACTGCATGGTTAACTTGTTGGTTGGTTTGTATATGTTATATATGTTGTTGTTATCTTATTGCTTGTGTGTATAGCTCGTAGACCTCACTAAGTATTTCTGGAAATACTTACGCATCTTTTTCTGTGATGCAGGTAAAGGAAGGCATGACCGTGTATGGCATGAAGGTTGCGACCTGAGAGTGGGGGAGTAGGGAGACTTCCTGGATACCGTAGTCTAAGGTAGAAGCCCGAGGACGAGCCGTTATGATTCATGGGTTGCGACCTGTGGACGGGGGAAGTGCGTGAGTATGAGCAAATAGGGTCTGGAATGTAAGTATATTGATTATATATGGGCCTCAGAGGATTCAGTTGTGGGAGTGCGGATCATTTGGGACGGTTGCATGGAGTCCTAGACTGATGGACGGTGTTGAAGGATTAGAGGACGAATCCATGTTAGTGGGGGAGAATTGTAACACCTGTGTTCTGGAAAATAATAGAAGACTTGAGTTTGTATAAGAATTAGGATGGAGTCGGTTTAATTCCGGTAGATTTTACTAAACTGGTCGTTTTATTAATTCAATTAAAAGAGGTTTAATTAATGTTGATTTAGGTAAAAGCTGTTTTAATCAAATTAAACTAAAAACCCTAGTTTTATAAAGAACGCCTCTTGTCTCTTTTGTTTTGATGTTGTTTGTTTGTGAGAATTTAGTTTGAGAAAAGAAGGAGAAATTCACTTGCGAGAAGGAGAGGGTTAGCTTTACTTTGGTGTATAAGGAAAAAGAAGCAGATTCGTCACGTTTTGGAAAAGTAGTGTTACGACGTATCAAATCTTATCGAAAAGTAACGAAATTTGGTAGGTTTGTTCTTAAGGAGTGTACGTTGATTCTCCTTTTTACAGAAGTGATTTCAGACTAAAATTGTGTGTATAGCTCGTAGACCTCACTAAGTATTTTTGGAAATACTTACGCATCTCTTTCTGTTATGCAGGTAAAGGAAGGCATGACCGTGTGATCATGGCGAGGAGAGAAGGATGATCTAGGGGATCGCTGGTTGATTAGAATAATGTTATGAATTGTTTATTAATTGTTAGTTCTAGAATTTAGAAACATGATAGGTTGATTATGTTATTTCTGGAATGTCTTGGTCGATAGATGGTTAATACATTTGGTTTGCTGGATTGTTAGCTTTAATGTATTCCGCTGGTTTTATTGGTTATGGTTTGGTTTAATTGGAATCGCTAGTTAACTGGTTTAAATTGAAATTGAATGGATTAAATTAGGTTAATCTTGTTTAGTTGATTTAAATTGATTTGGTTCGGTTTACTTTGTTTAGTTGGTTTAAATTGATTTAGTCCGGTTTAGTTGGTTTAATTGGTTTAAATTAATTACGTTAATCTGGTTACATGATAAACAAAAAAACGGGTCGGGTCTTTTTAATTTGGTATCAGAGCCCTTACGATTCTAGGGAGGGGCTAAAATGGGTAAATGTGGTGTGATGTATGAATCTTGTTGTTGCTGAATGATGATGTGAATTGCATGCCTTGTTGATTATGTGTGTTTGATGGATTGTGTGGGCATGGAGACCTAGATCAACATCTCGAGCCTTCAATGAGATTCCACGGTAAGTTGCATGTTTTTGGTTTTGCCCTTGTATTTTTAACCTTCTGTTTTAGTACAGATGGTTAGAGGTGGAGCTGTTGGTCGTGGTCGCGCTGGTAGGCATAGTGCTGCCTCGGGTAACGACAAGAGTGTGGACCAAAGTGCTACGGCCGATCATGTCAACGATTCTCAGTCGCATCAGGAGGGATCCTTGGGTGATGCCAGTGTGAGTGCCGTTGGAGCCGGCTTGCCCGGAGATGGTACTGGTGTGGCTGGAAACCCGGTTATGGGTGTTCCAGCATGTGGGCTCCATGGTCAGAATTGTCGGATTGCAGATCTGCTGACGCAGCTCTTGGAGCGGTTACGGGGAGCAGTACCAGCGCAAGCTCCAGTCGGACCACCAGGGGTGGCCGGAGTGCAGCCTGTTGGGCCAGGTGAGCCTCGCGTGTTGCCAGGTGGGCCTGGCGTGCAGCCAGGTGGACATGGTGTGCAGCCCGGTGTCGGGGTTGTGCAACCCGAGGGGGTAGGTGCGGTTGTTGAGCAGCCGTACGACTTGCGGATGATGGAGCAGTTGCAGCAGTTTGGAATGTCCATGTTCTTCGAGGGTTCCAATCTGGCTGTAGTGGATGTGTGGCGGGTGCGATTGGAGATGTACTTCTAGTCGATGAGGTGTCCGAAAGCGTATTGGGTGGACCTAGCGGCTCACTACTTGGCTGGTGATGCACACTTGTGGTGGAGGAGTGTGCTGGCCAAGAAGGAGTAGGGATTGATTGTGTGGGGGGACGTTTTATTTGTGAGGATTGTTGTACGTTGTTTGGTTATTGCAATCGCGAGAAGAGTCTTCCTGGTTGTATTTTTTATTCAAATCACCTTGTTAAGGTGAGTGCGTGACCATGAGCTTATCTAAGCGATTGAGATTGAGTGACTTGTTTTGTGATAATTTGTAGGTAAACTGGAAGTGTCATTGGATGTTTAACTTGTTGGTTGGTTTGTATATGTTATATATGTGGTTGTTAACTCATTGCTTTTGTGTATATCTCGTAGATGGGAGGAACACCTCACTAAGTATTCTGGAAATACTTACGCATCTCTTTCTGTGATGCAGATAAAGAAAAGGCTTGACCGTGGGATCATGGCGAGGAGAGAGGGATGATCTAGGGGCTCGCTGGTTGTTTTAAATAATGTTATGATTTTTTTTATGAATTGCTAGTTCTGGAATTTTAAAACATGATAGGTTGATTATGTTATTTCTGGAATGTCTTGCTCGATAGATGGTTAATGCATTTGGTTTGCTGGATTGTTAGTTTTAATGTCTTCCGTTGGTTTTATTGGTTATTGTTATGGATTAATTGGAATTGCTAGTTAACCGGTTTAAATTGAAATTGAATGGATTAAATTAGGTTAATCTGGTTTAGTTGGTTTAAATTGATGCAATTAGAATTATAATTAAATAATTTAGAAAATCTTATGGTGCAATTAGAATTAAATAATTTAGAAAATCGTAATATATTTCAAGATCTCTTTAAAGAAAAGAAATATAATGTTTTTTAACAGAAAATAAATTTGTAATCAAACATTCCTTGTGGGGCAATTAGCGTTTAATAATTTAGGAAATCGTATTACAAGAACGCAACTTTGGGAATCCATATTTATTAACCATTTAGGAAATTGATTTAATTATTAAAATTATATATAAAAGAAACAAGATCTAGATCCCTCAAAACTTTCTAGCAAAAAAAAACATTTTACTAAATTTTTCCGACCAATTAGTTTTTACAGGGTTTACAAAGATTTTTAAAGTGTCTTTTAAAAGATTTACAAGATTTTTTAAGGGATTTACATGAGTTTTTAAATGTTTTTTAAAAGATTTGTAATGGGTTTTAAAGGGTTTTACAAGCTTACAAAAGTTTCCAAATGGTGTTGAAAGGATTTACAATGGTTTTAAAAAGATTTTATAAGTTTATAACGGTTTTTAAAGGATATACAATGATTTTTAAAAGATTGTCAAATGGTTTAAAAAAATTTACAAGGATTTTTAAAGGATTTTTAAAAGGATTTACAAGTTTTTTTAAAGGCATTTAAAAGGATTTAAAAATGGTGTTAAAAGTATTTACAAGGATTTTTAAAGATATTTACAAAGATTTAAAAATAGTTTTAAAGGATTTATAAGGGGATTTAAAGGGTTTTTAGAATTCTAAAAATGATTTTAAAGGGGTTACAAATGATTTTAAAGGCATTACAAGGACTTTAAACTGGGGTTTAGAGGTTTACAAAAGTTTATATTAAAGGATTTATCACGGTTATAAAGAGTTTAAAGGGATATACAAGTGTTTCTAAATGTTTACAAGGTTTACTAAAGTTTTTATAGGTTTTGGATGACTTTTAAAATATTTACAAGGGTTTTTAAAGGATTTTTTAAGGGTTTTAAAAATATTTACAAGGTTTTTAAAAGGTTTTTTAAAGATTTGCGGAAAATTTTCTGAAGTAATATTTTTTTTGTTGGAAAGAATATTTCTTTCTTCATCATGGGTTATATATTAAAAGAGGGTAATTTAGTCATTTTCTACATTGAAAATGATATTTTTGGAAATGGACACCTAGAGAGGGGTATTTGTAGAAAAAGGTACTATAAAAAGGTTATTCGTGCAAATCCCTATAAATTAATACTTTATAAATTAATAAATACTATAAATTAATACATTTTACTGGTCCCAAGTCGGGCCAGTGTAAAATTTGACCAATTTCGATAAGATAATGAGATAATAATTATTTTGAAATCCCCATGTAAAATATAGTCCCAATAATATCATAAATTATTAATCACTATATATATATATTATATGTTTATTTTATTTTTGTAGAAATAATGTTTTTTCCTACAGTTCACCTCAATAAAAAATTGGGGGAATTTTAAAAATGCCCCTTTTGGGGAATACATTTTTAAAAATGCCCTAGTGAGGAGAGCATTTTTAAATATACCCTTCTTTTTGTACAAAAAGACAGTTATACCCTTAATGATTTAACCTAATTGCAAAAACATTTTTCTCCTTCTCCATCATCTCTTCTTCTACATCGTCTCTCTCTCTCTCTCTCTCTCTCTCTCTCTCTCTCTCTCTCTCTCTCTCTCTCTCTCTCTCTCTCTCTCTCTCTCTCTCTCTCTCTCTCTCTCTCTCTAAAAGATTTTACAAGATTTTTGTATAGCTTTTAAATGTATTTTACCTCCTTACAGTTCCATAGAAATCTTCCATTCATGTCACAAAGGTAACA